AAACACACACACAAATTTATATACACATCTCATACTACTATTGGCAGTAATATATGAGTTCCTACTTATAGCGGAAGGAGAGAAGTGTTTTACCTTTTTCAAAGCGATTTTTTATGGGTTTTAAATAAATTCCATATTAGAAGACAGATTCTAAAATACTTTTCACATTTTTTTATATTAAAAAATTAAAATTAAAAGAAAAATTAGATAATGAATTCTATTTTTATAAAATAAAATTACTTATTATTATTTTTAATTATAAAATAAATTTAAAATTATATAAATAAATATAAAAAAAAGCCTCTCACAAACACAAAAGCACAGGCAAAAAGGCTAATATATATAAAACAAGGGAAAATTAGGGAAAAAAGAGATGAGAAAAAGAATGCATTGCAGCAGGCTTGATGATATCAACCTGACGCGCGCGTTTCCGTCCGCCCACCCAAGCTAGACACGTCACCATCTCAGTGGGTCCGGCCTCTCTCTTTCTCTCTCCTGCCCGCTGTCCCCATTTTTCCACTTCTCTCTCTGACCGAACTGCCCGGCCCCTACTCCCTCCTTTCCCAAGCCTCAATGCCATGCACCTCGTACGGTCAGCAACATAACGGGCAGTCCGGGCACCTATACTCCCTGCCCGTTTTCTCCGGGCAGCTCGATTTGCTTTTATCTAGTCTTCGGTTCAATTGAAAATAGGGAAAAAAAGAAGAGAGAGAATCGATAATTCAGAGTGTAATAAGTTTATAACGATATTTTGGAAAATATATAAATTTTTTTCACCCCACTTTAAACTGGTCAGCTTGTGGGAGTTCATTTCTGAGATTTATGTGTCTTTGAGCAGACATTTCTGGGTTAAACTGAAATTTGGTTGTTCCTATCTGTTAAAAACGGACACTTGCTCCTTGGTTTTTGTCTTTTTCCTCACTAGCTGATCAATTTTGAGCTTCAAGGGTTTGTCAAGTTTGATCTACTTTCCGTGTGATCTAGCTCTTTCTCAGCTGGGTCATCCTTTTTACCACCAAATTAAGTTGGGTTTTGAGGAAAGTTTGGAAATTTCAGAGCTTTTTGGTGAATTTTTATATGGGTTGTGTGGAGGGCTAGAGGCAGTTTTTGACTGGTTTTGTTGTGGGGGTGGGAGGGTTGGTGGTTGGGCTTTTTTTATGGTATCTGAATTTCGTTCTTTAGGGTTTGTGAAAGATGGGTTTGGGAGCTGAGAATGGTAAAGTGGAGTCTTGGAGCATGTGCAAATCGAAGGTGAGGAAGAAGAAGAAGAAAGATGATGATGATGATGTGGAGGAAGAGGAGACTGGGTGTTGGGTTAGGCTGAGGTTCTTTGGGAGCTGCATTTCTTCAAGATCCAAAGTTGATAGCTCAATCAGTGGAACCAGTACTCACTGTGGTAACTTTCTCTTTTCTTGGAATCACTTTTTACTAGCTCATATGCTTCAAGTGTTCTTGTTGATTGCTTTTTAGGATTGTTCTGTTGTTTCTATTTTAGCTTGTGTAGTCTGTAGTCGTTCAGTTCTTCCTTTCTCAGCCATATCATGTTTGTCGCGCATATAGTCTTCATAGACAATAAAATTTAGGCCTGAAGATTCTGTAAGTAATTTTACAAATAATTGCTGTTAACATAACCATTTCTGCTTGGGGCGCCCGTAAGTTGGCTGCATTATACTACTATGGTCAATCTAAAGAGCTTTGCTCTTGATGGATTCTAATCAAAGCATGAAGGTCCCCATTGTTCGTGAAGATTATACCTGCAATAACCTGGTTAAGTTTTGGGTTTGGTGGCTGGTTTTAGAGCTCAAACCCAATTGAGCCCTTTAATCTCTCTCTCATACGAGAAGAGGAGATTGGTGGCTGGAAAACTTCTTGGTCCTGGAAAAACATTTCACAGAAACATGTGAGCTTGCTTTTGAGAACAAGAGTTATCCCTCCCTGCAGTCTCCTATAGCGGGGAAACAATAATTTGAGTCCAGACTGTATGACTAAATAAATACATAATAAGACATACGTTTTAAGGCAACTTGAGTATGTTCTGCCTGATATAAAGGATGAAGGGTTAGGTATTCTGATGTTATACTTTCTTTTGATTTGTTGTATGCTTTGTGTAAAACTTATCTGCTTGTGAGGATTTTCTCAATATAATACTGGTTGTGAGTTAGGGACAGCGGGTTCATTGGTAATTACAGGATTCGCTAGGAGATGGTGGGAGCATGCAAATAAAATTGTGGTAGCAATGGTGAGGATGTGTCATACTGGTATGGAAAGTGAAGGCGTAATTGATGTGTTGTTATTAGAAAATAGATTTTATGGCTTTAGGAATATTTTTCCTGAGGCAACGAGGTTGGAAGAGTGGTCATCGAATTGGGTATACAGTAATTCTTGATAAAAACTGGTTTTTTAAAATACATGATTCATGTCAGATGGCTGTGCTTGGTGTCTAGTTTAGATAATCTTCTAATTTCCTATTCAACACTTATTGACTGATATGATAGTCAGATTAAGTCTATTTAAGGTTTTATCCTGTGTTGGTCATGTGTAATTCTTACATCAGGTCCTATGTATGCTTAAACTAAATTTGCTTAGGGGCAATGTTTTTTCAACTTGGTGCTATTAAAAAAACACATTTATTCTTTATTTTCAGTATTCTAATGTGTTGGTTTCTTTGTTGGGGTTTGCAGAAACTAAATCTACAAATGATACAAGCAGAGACCAACCAACAGCTACTGTAGTCTCTTCCTCAACCACTAGTAACACAGAAAGTAATGCATCCACTTCCAAACTTGAAGAGGAACTTAAAGTTGCTTCGCGGTTACGAAAATTCACATTTAATGATCTTAAATTGGCAACAAGGAATTTCAGACCTGAAAGTCTTCTTGGTGAAGGTGGTTTTGGTTGTGTGTTCAAGGGGTGGATAGAAGAAAATGGAACTGCTCCAGTAAAACCTGGCACAGGGCTTACTGTTGCAGTTAAAACTCTTAACCATGATGGGCTTCAGGGTCATAAAGAATGGCTGGTTTGGAACTTTCCTGATTTGTTTTAACTCTTATACTACATAATGTTTTGGTGTTCTCTGTCTATGTTGTATACAATTTTTTAATTCTTGTTCGGCTTTCTATGTGTCAGGCTGAAGTGAATTTCCTTGGTGACCTTGTCCATCCAAACTTAGTTAAACTTATAGGATACTGCATTGAAGATGATCAAAGGCTGCTAGTGTATGAGTTCATGCCTCGAGGGAGTTTGGAGAACCATCTGTTTAGGAGTATGTAACTGCCTTTCTCAAAATCTAATTTTCATTCAATCCCATTTAGAAGTATAGTCTTTTGGCATTCTCTGATAATATCTACTATATGCAGGGTCCTTGCCTCTTCCATGGTCAATTAGAATGAAAATTGCATTAGGTGCTGCAAAAGGTCTCGCTTTTCTTCACGAGGAAGCAGAAAGACCTGTTATATATCGGGATTTTAAAACCTCCAACATCTTATTGGATGCGGTATGCCCTTAAAACTGACAAACTCACATATTCCCCCATAATATCATTCACCTTTCTAATAAAGTACCATTACAGGATTACAATGCCAAACTGTCTGACTTTGGACTTGCCAAAGATGGTCCTGAGGGTGATAAAACCCATGTCTCCACCCGTGTGATGGGAACTTATGGTTATGCAGCTCCGGAATATGTAATGACTGGTGAGTGCAGTTACCTTCAATCTTTTATCTTCCTAACATAGAATGTCCGCTATTTGTACCTATTTATATTTTCTTAAAGGATATCTTCCATTATCTGGAGTTGTTATTTATACATTAGCTAGGTCCAAAGAGAATGCTTATCCTGTAGGGTATTACGTTTTGGATACATGTAAACTCGTCTTGATACCTTGTTGAAGTCCAAGTAGATTCACTTGTATTTTGTTGCAGGACATCTTACATCCAGGAGTGATGTCTATAGTTTTGGCGTGGTTTTACTTGAGATGCTGACTGGCAGAAGATCTATGGACAAAAATCGACCGAATGGTGAACATAACCTTGTGGAATGGGCACGGCCACATTTAGGCGAGAGAAGAAGATTCTACCGATTGATAGACCCCCGGCTTGAAGGCCACTTTTCAATAAAAGGTGTCCAAAAAGCTGCACAACTAGCTGCCCATTGCCTTAGTCGAGATCCTAAAGCCAGGCCCCTAATGAGTGAAGTTGTTGAAGCCTTAAAGCCGCTGCCAAACCTCAAGGATATGGCAAGCTCATCATACTATTTCCAGACCATGCAAGCTGACCGCGTTGGGTCCAGCCCGAATACCAGAAATGGTGTCAGAACACAAGCAGGATTGCTAACAAGGAATGGGCATCATCAGCAGAGGAGCCTCTCAATACCAAATGGTTCCCATGCTTCTCCATATCACCATCAATATCCCCATCAATCACCAAAACCTAACAGCAAACCTTAAGATAGGGTTGGCAGCTGTCTATATCATTTCCCACCCCATTGTCAGCAGTCATTTTCCTTTTTTTTTTCTTTTTTTTTTTCCTCTTTTTTTCTTCCTTTTCCCTCTTCTTCGGTATAGATGTATCATCTGTTAAAGCATTTGTTCATGGACAACTCAAAAAGCAACAGAGAAACATGTTTGCTTGATGTTATGTTTAGAGTGATGACCTCGAAGTAAGGGCATGTGAAGTTCACTGAGCAAAATGTATTGGTTAGAAATACCAAGACAAGATTGTTGCCTCCCGTTACATTATATCCTTTGTCATCTGTTCCTTAGATGAATACAAGTCCTTGTTTCTTGGTCACATGTCATATCCCTTTCTGGTATAAAACAAAATGCACTACTTTGTCTTAATTAAGTACATGAGAAAAACCAATTTCAAATAAGCTACGTCTTGTCTCGTGCCCTTATATTTTGGACTTGGTAAAAAGCTTGGCGCCATTCAACGAGAGGAGGAGGGAGAGAGATAGCAGGGTTGGTAGGATCTCACCATCAGATAGCAATATGTAGCATAAGATAAGAAAATTTAATCTTAAATTGAAATAAAATCATTATCGGCATATTGTGCCACAACAGCTACAGCTAAGAGTCAACTGGACACATTTCCAAAGAGGCTTATTTGCATTGAGTTGAGCCCATGGGACCCAAAAAAGAAAACCCATAAGACCTGCCTTCTATTATTATTTCTATCAAGTAGATATATACATGCTCCAACTCCTCCAATGGTGGCACATGTATTTACATTACCATCTCAGCCTTGAAGACCACTTTGTTAGATGCACTAAACTTAATCCCTGAAGAGGTTTTATTTTTCGTTCCTCTCTTCTTTTTGGAGGATCTTCAAATGTGAAATCCACTTCATCATTGTAAAGGATCATTCTTTCATGCAGCCTTCCTGGTCAGCTGCTCCTTGGATGTACTCTCGAAGATCTTGTCAGCATTTCCAACCTCAAATCCATCTCGCCTGTGATGCTCTTTGACCTGTGCAAGTTGCTAGTTCATAATTGTGCAACACCAAAAGCAACTTGAAAAACCCAAAATACCAACAGACAAAAGTTTGGTTACCTCTTCAAGGGGTAGATTACTGTACTGAGGCAGCACCAGGCGCTCAGCAAACTCGATATAGGAGCAGGGGACTGATTCAGTTAGACCATCAGAAAATTGGAAATGAATTGAATCTGCGACAGTTGAACTTTGCTGAAGAAGGCCATCGGGGCTCACTGTTAATGGAAGAAGTAAACTCATAATAATCAGCATTGAGTAATATGCAATAAAAGATATTGCAAGAAATTTCACTTAACTCAACTTCTGCTTATGGCATGCCACGTTAATTCAGTTGATGATATGCACAAAGGCCCAGTCATGTGTTCCAACAAACATATCAGTTTCTGAATACCAATAATATCATTCCCTACTTTCCTATAAAAGAAATTATATCAATCTCTTTCTCTGTTATCGTTCTTTTTTTTTCCTTTTTATTAACAGAAGATGATGTATATTTACTCAAACCTTAGCAAGACGCTAACTGCATTTGCATGTTCTGCCTTAGAATGAGCAGCTTAGGTACATGAAAATGAACATGGTTTAATCTATAATCCTAGTATTATATCAGAAAGAAATATTGAACATATACAAAAATCACCAAAAGATCGCTCGGAAGACATGTTTGTTGTGCTACAGATCATGTAACAAACCTTTCAGAGTTCCCCCTTCAGAATTCAACTTGAACCCATTCTTCTCAATGAACTGATTGAGGTTTTTAATATCTCTCAATCGAGATTTCAGCTGATGAGTTGAGATAGTGGCATGGTTTAATGCATACCCATTGACAAGGGTCCAGGCAGCATAATATGCTACAATATTCAAATCTAACCTCTTTGGCTAAGATATGAAAATTTTGCTTACACAAACGGTAAGATATGCACATACGTACACAATGAAAGCCAAGTACCTAGCCAATTGTTGAAATTCAGAATGCAATGGCTTTTCCCACGTTAACGATCCCAGTGCACTTGCTAGAGCAGCATGTTTATTTCCAGAACCAGAAATTCCAGTGTACTTTCTGATTATATCCTGAATGTTGAAGAACACTCTCAAGTTTCAACTAATGGGAAATAGGACAAATATCAAAACATATTTGCGATAAACAGAGCAACATATACATATATACCTGAGTTTGTGGACTCATCTGATCCACAAGAAGCTCAGATACAAACACTCTTGGTAAAGGTCCATTAACACCACTGCCACCATGAGAAGTTGGAATACTGGGAGGAGAAAACCACAATGCTCTCAATTTTTTAGCAGGGAATCTTAACTCCTCCCGCGGCGTGTACCCGAAATCCAAGAAAAATTTAGCCATGGAGTCGATTCCATAACCATTCACCTATTGATTGTTCCAAATGAAAACCAACTTCAATAACAATGCTAACAAGATCAATTGAAATGAATGCATATCATATGCATACTTGTTTAATGTCTTAATAATGAAAATACAAATCAACACTATTTGGAATTAATCGAAGGAAAAGAGAAATTACCCCAAATGTCCTAAAAGCGAAATGATCATAGCAAATTTGGTCATCAGCAACCGACCCAACGAGCTCCAACACTGCTTTTGCTGTTGGGTTCCTGCTCAAGTAGACAGCCTCCATACTTGCCAACACTTCCCTGAAAAATGATTCACCTCTCTGCAATCCACTTCCGTATATAAAAATCATAAATAAATAAATAATGAAAACTTTGATAGATGAGAGGAAAAAACCTGGAAAGGGGAATCGTGGGATCCATTGTCAGATTTGGAGCTACAAACGGTGGACATGTTTTGCTTGTTGGTGAAGATTGAATATTTGAGGGGAGAAAACGATGAGTTGTTGAGGGAGACGAAATTCCTGGTGATAGGATTTTTGGGGTTAATGCTGGGTTGGCGAGGAGTGAGAGAGTAGAAGGATGGGGGCAAAGTTGATGAAGAAATACGAGAGCCGTTGTTAATGGCTGATGAACTTAAGGGCAACATTCTGGACAGTCTCATTTCTCTGGTAGCTTCAAATTTCAATCAATCAGACGCAGGACCCTCTCTATCTTTCTCTGACGTATTCATATAAAAATCTTCTTTCTGTTTGGCAATGCTTACGTCCGCTTCGCGCTTAGCTCCACCCGCCACCTGGACCTTCTCGACAATGCCTCTATGCTAGGGTGACATTAAAATATTAAAATTATTATTCCGGTAGTTCTCATATATTATTGTGTCTAACAAAACGTATCGATATTATTGTGTATGTAGATAAAAAATTTACATAGATAAGTAAGAGGATTTGTGAGTTATAGTGTGTGTGAATTTTTGATGCAAATTTTGAAGCGAACCTACATCAACTATTTATAATTTTTACAATGTGAAACAAATTTAAAGTAGTCTTTTACACAACTAAAAAATTCATGAAAATGTTATTGATGTTATAAAAATAAAATAATCAGAGTACAAAAAGTACCACTGAATAATGGGTATAGAATTATATTTGCTCTTTTGGTGTTTACATTGACATAATTTTCTCTCAGATAGGACTTACTAACACTCAGATTTCACACTCTCTCTTCTTTCCTCTCACTCTTCCTTTCTTTCCTCTCTTCTCTGTTGGTGTAATTTGCTAAGCAATGGGATTGGATGGCTTACCCAACATCATCATCAAGCTCGAACATCATCATAAAACTTTTTGAATATTATTTCCTTCTTTTCTTTATATGGGCTCACCACTTTTTTTACAACACTTCCCCTTTGAGACCACAATGTATGAGATATGCTTCGTTAAAAACCTTGCCAATAAAACCTAGTGGGACAAAAACTGGTCGAAGGGAAAAAGAGTACATAACCATGTGTAACATAAAATTCTGTGTATATTGACAAGCGTGCGACATTGCCTCGTTAAAACCTTGCCATGAAAAATCCAGTGGGATAAAAACCTGGACGAAGGAAAAAGAGTACAGTGTGTGAAAATCTTTATTGACAGCACGCTCCCCCTAATCATCTTTCTGAATGTCATAGTTGACACTGTTTATGTGAGTCAATCTTCTAATATTGTTGGATGCTCCCCCTGATATCTTCATGACTATCTTTCTAGAGGGAAGATCTTTCAGACTGAGTGAATGATATAGCCATCAACAATTCATGTAGTTGAGTAAGCAAATATATCCATAGTGAGCTATCTCTATGTAAATCATAGAAATTTACAAAGTTCACGAATCAAACAAAACTTGGGCTATTTGTAAGTTCACTTGAAAAGAATATGCCCATATATGATTTTATGCGGAGATAACATCAAATATGTCTCACATCATCCCAAATTGGTGGTGATGGAGTTGAGTTCTATATGGAAAATATAATGTGTGGTCTAGTATACTTTCTAAAAATCATTTAAGTGCCTAACGGATAATCCACATAAAAATGATTCAATACTTTCTTAGTATAAGCAAGAATCTTGTTGGCATAATGCTCGATCTTCAGGCCGAGACAAATATTTCTTGAATTCTTCAGGAGTTTTGACCAAATATTAATTCTTCAAGAGTTTTGATCAATTATCAACTCTTTAGGAGTTGTAATGTGTTGCAACCATATCATAATTAGTGTACTCAGGCAATTTATACATATTAGTATTGAGTACAAAATTTGTGCTTCAAGCACATGTCATTCGAAGACTTACTTCATGCAATTTCAATCCTTTAAGGATTTAAGGGATCACACTTTATAACACATTATATATCTTTAACCCAGATATTTATACATCTTTAGGGAATCGCATCTGGATATATGCTCCATGCATTTAATAACCCTTAAAGATAACATGTTGGTCTCCGTAAATATGCAATAAGAAGGCACAATTGCATTTGTAAACCAACATTTCTTGTTTCTATCAGAAACATTGTGTCATACAAAGTGAGTATATTTCTCTTTATTCCAACACTCATGCGTAACCTTCAGGGTTAACATCTCTTTGGGGTTCGTACTGTGGGTTTGTTCTTTCACCTTCATTCTCATCTGTAATGGAATTGCCTCTTTCCATTTATGGCCAATGATATTGTCGACATTTAATAATAGAACGTGGTTCCAATCAACACAGCCCATTGATGATTTGAGTAGCTACTCCAAAACCAAAAATTATCATTCATCAATTCGTGATCTCACCATTCTCATGTGCATGTGCATGCACCATATTAATATTGATATGTTAATGGACTGTCCTCCCGGGATTTCAATCCATATCATTTGTTATGCAACAGGCGTGCATCATATTGATCACTGCTATACTCATGTTCTGTTCTTATGGGACTTTTAATCTATGCAGTGTATTATCAATGTATTTAACTTGCAATATGTGAAATTTGCATTAATAATTCAAGAATACATATCAAAATGATACAAGACATTCTTCTGGAGTGGTCATAATACAAGTCATTCTTCTGGAACGATCTATAATGCAAGTCATTCTTTTGGAATGGTCCTTTGCATGACGTCCTTCTGGAACGGCCTTATCTCCCCATTTGGTTAACTATAAGGATGTCGTACAAAATATCAAAAATAAGAGTACAAGCATGAAATAATACAAGTATTGCTTACATCCTTAGGTGGGAGAAACTTTGCTTAAATATCATTCAAGCTCGTATCAGCTCAGCAAATACAATGTAATGCTTGATGATCTAGTTATATCCTCCAGGAGCAAAAAGTCACAATTCTTCTGTCTCTGTAAAAAAAAAAAAAAAAAAAAACCCTCAGCGTTAGGTTCACTACATGGATTTATTCTTCAGATGTTCGTTCTAAAGAAACAAAATCCCTTATGAACAGAGAATTGTAAAAAGAAAGAAAATATACAAAGAATTGCGATATTGATTGCAAGGTAGGTAAGAAATTAGGGAAGGAAACTAGTGAGGTAACAAATAACAAACTCTCATTTCTCCTAACTTAGAAGAACTTCAGGAGATTAGAGCATGTGGGCGTCCTTATAGTTCCCTGATCTAGCTGAAACGTGATCAGGGATAGTCTTGTTTCCTGAATAGATGATCAGAGATAGTCTCACTTCTCAAGCACATCGAATGCTCATTGATATGAAAAACAAGTGGATATTGCATCACTAGATAGAAAGAAAGCTGGAGAAAACTGGATGTATTTTGCAAAGAAAATTTCGTTAGTAACATATTTATACACATATTAGAGGAACAGTTTGAACTGGTGAATCTCAAATTAACTACGAAAATTTGTGAGGTTCTCGAGATGCTTTTGAAAAAGTAACTTCGTGAAATTCGCAAAGCAAGATCGGCTTTGACGAAAATAGTCATTGAGAATCCTTAAAGTGCCGACAGATATTAATGAGGCCGTGTGAAGTTTTGGAATCTGGAAAAGAAAAAGAAAATATGGGGATTCGAGAAAATATTGGGATCCTAGAAACAGTGCCACATTTTCATATATAGATATTGCCTTTGCAAGGCATGATTGGAGTAATTGCGTTTCAACTCCACTTCCTTCCATTTTCTGAAAATTTAGCTTTTCTAAGACTTTTCTCGAAACCCTTTTAAAATGGCTTCCTCTTCTTCTCCCCCAAAGCATCTCGATTTAAATGTTGCTCCCAAAACAACCCGTGACGCCAAAGTCTGGCGTCCATCCTTTTTATCCCAAAATCATCATCTCACGGTTAATGATTCTGTGATGATGAATGATACAACTGTTGTCATAGTAGCTATGAATTTCCTTACTCCTATGGATGAAATACTATTAACAGGAAGGCCTGACGAAGAGGCTATTGATGACTGAATGACTTTTAACATTCAAAGTGCTGCTTCTGTTTCTAACATGGTTGATCGTTTTCGTACCAGAGCAAATAAGATTCAGGAGTCTCAACAAGAGGTTGAGAAACTTAAATAGGAAAATAAGGCCATGTTGAAACTAGTGAGTTCATACTCCATTGATACGTGAACAAGGCTTGACATGCTGCAGATTTCCAATGAAAAGACTCTGGGAGACCACTAGAGGCTCATGGCTAAGCTTAAGAGGCGTCGTCCTCTTCCTTCAGAGGCTTCCAGAACATAATGAAATTTTATAGATTTTACAGAGCATGCTTCTTCCTTGCAGTTGAAAAGAATCTTTATGTTGTATGCTCATTTCCTGTTATAATAATTAGGTAAATTCTTAAACTTGCACCTGTGGTTTTTACATCTTTTCAAAATGACGGTTTGGAACCTTGTGCCTTATAGGTTCAAATAACCACATCAAATCTCTCAAATTACATATTTCAATGCATGTGAGTTTGGAACTTCTAGCTCGGGTTAAACACGACTTGAAAATTTATTTGTCTTTTTCAAATGAGTATGAAATATAAATTGAGTAAAAGCTATGATAATATTGCAATATAATAGTAAAATTAGAAATGCAATTAGTAATAGGGAGTTATTCACTATACGAAGTACAAACAATGGTAATATCTATACTTGGAGTGGCAATGTTTGTGCTTCGAGTGATGGTGTTCGTGTAAGGAGTAGTAGTGCATCAGATGCGTGTGGTTAGAGTTTGTGTGCGTGATTGGAATGACATTGTTGTGCCAAGAGTGATAATGTACTAGTTCAACTACTCAAGTTACCGTCCAGTTAATCAATGTACTAGTTAGACGATATGAAAATGCATTCAGATGACACTAAAGAAAAACCGATTGATGTGGATGCATGAGAGAATGACATTGGCACACCCGGACACAATTGATCGTGGTTGCAATCATAGAATTGGAATGTAAACAAGGCACAAAGAAAAGAAGTGGATTCTCGGAAAAAGTTAGTGGTGGTGCAGTGTTCTTCGTGTCGTTCGTTTTTGGATAAAGATAATGCGCATGGATCAAATGTGTATGATATTTTGATCCTTATTATTGTTATTATGAAATCAAGTCCACTTCCTAATACGGCCAAAGGCTAATCCCACTCATATTGTCCAAAGAGCCATGGTAGTTGTTTTCAAGCCATTACAAGTTGCAATATCAATTCATGGGTTACTTTTCTTGCTTTCAATAAAATTGAAACACTAAATATAATCCAATTAATAAATAAAAAATTATGTTGA